GATCTATTGACCATGGATTCACCATCAAAGACGGAGCTAGAGTACAAAATATGGATTCATGGGAAGCTAATAGATTTTGCTCAATCATAGTTGTATTTGAACTTGATATCGTCATAGAAACAATATAAATTTTAAATTCTGGATCCTGATTTATTCACCATGCCTTTGAAGTTGAAAGAATGTTTAACGAGTCTATGATTAAAAAATATTAACAATGGAGTCTACATGTCATGTAATGTAGAAGAGCTAAAGTGAAAACTGCTTTCCTTTTTTACCTCTTTCCTCTGACCTTCCTTCATACCACATATCATGTAAACCGATTTTTGTTATAAATAAAATTTTATTTGAGGTGAATGTCTATATTTTAGAGAGATTTTAGGGATTATTACTTGGTGGCTAAGTCACTCTTTATCTATAGATAGAGGGGTTCTATTCCATTGTAAATCATCTCAAATGAATAAGGCTTCTCTCTCCCTACTTTTCTCTTTTCTTCTTTTATTATTTCATAATACATTATCAATACGAGACTCTAACCAATTGAGTAGAGGCTTTGAGATACGTGCATGGTGATCAACTAATACATAATATTGAGTATAATGATTGTCAATTGTTCCATGATTCCTTCAGGAATAAATTCTGGATTTAAGGTAAGTATTTTACCTTATTTTTCTCTTTTAAATTCTTGTAATTCTATAATTTGATTTTAAATACAAGGAAAGACAATAAATTTTGATTATAACTCTAATAGAGCTTCTAAGAAATTATAATCACCTGAGATGATAAAATTTCTATGTCTTGCCATGATCGAATTCATGTATGATCGTGAGCACAAGAAGTGAAAACCCGTTCCATTGAATTTGCTTCATTCTCATTACCTTAAGAGAATGTGATAGTAGTATATGATAAGTTTGAAAGAAGATAAAATTATTACCATGAATGTATCAATGGATGTGGACGTGGCAATAGATGAAATTATAATCATCATCATCGTGGTAATGAGAATAACAAGGATTCTCAAAATAATTCTTCACTCTGTGAAATTAATTTTTGTCATCGATTTGACATGAGATTTCGTAAAGCACATATAGATGACTATGATCCATTCATGATGTGAATATGACAACATATGATTTACGAATACATATTCATTCTTTGAAGAATATGAACGTGCTAGTGGTAGTAAATATACCACATTCACCTCTAGAAGAAGGTTTGAGATGATATAAGAAAATAATGTCATTATTATGGCATGAATGGTCATTGGTCACGTACCTATTATACGCCAAAATTTTTGGTAATGTGATTATTAAAGAATAACAGTAATGCAAAAAACAGATCTTGCATATGATTTTGACCATGACTATAATGGAATAACTTTCTCTTTGAAAGAGATATTCACCATATGGATGTTGATGAATATGGGATAGTACCAAATTAATTGAGGTTTCTGGAAAAGTCAATTATTACTATTTTGGAGGAATAAAATTAATTTATCAATAAGGCATTGTGTTGTAGTAAGTATCAAATAAACTTATTGAGTTCTAAAGTATTCGCAAAAGCAGTTGGTTATATTGAGACTATAAATAATCAGAAGATTTAATATCTTTATATCACTACAACTGTAGCGGGGTAATATGTATATGAAAAATACCCGCTTCATTGCCTGATTTGTATTACACAAATAAAAAATATGGTGAAATCACATGACGTGGTAAACTAGAAGTTTATTGATAAAAGAACCTATATCATAATAAACTTGGAGTTTATTGATAATTGTACACGTCATTCAGAACAGAAAGCAAGGAACGTGAAACGGTGTTGGCAAAATCCAATACAGAATGTCCCGAGGGGGCATTGTTGAATGAATTGACTTCGGTTTGATTTCCTGAAACACAAGCGGATCGGAACAATAGAACACACCCGCAAGGAAACCCATCTCGAAACCAGCGAGTTGCCTAAAACCTCCCTTGTTTACTTGCTTGCTTTCGGATAAGAAAGACTAGTCACTTTAACCTACCTTCCTAGCTTTAGTTGCCTTAAGGCTTGTCTTTCTTTCAGAACCTTGTTACTTTTAAGCTGTCTTTTGTAAACTTAAAGTTTATCAATATAAAAAAATTTATCCAGCTGGCCTAACTAGTTTAGCCATATCAATTTAAGTATAATGTGCAAAAATAAAAGAGTATTCATATGGGTAAATATTAAAGAAGTAGAAAGTTCTGTACGAATTCTCTTATATTTTTTGTTCTCATTAATTAATAGACCAACTAAAATTGGGATTGAATCCCATGAGTACTGGAAATATCAAAGGTGAATATGAGCACATTCACCTACCACGTATACCACATAAGATGCATCTATGAGATGGTTACATGTGCGATTATTATTAACCTGCAACCTGGTGTTTGCGAGGTAACTGCTCAATAATTTAATTTAGAGCATAATTTTCAGATTTTCTATTCAAGACAATTCATCTTGATAAGTTGGTTTACATCACATTTGATTTAGCAAAAAAATTTATTGAGTGTCTCCGCTTAATAGCTAGATTGTTGCTTATGAGAACAAAGTTATCTATATCAATTTGATTTATACGAAAGTATATTACATACTTCTCTCACAAGTGGTTCAGGGTCAAGAATCAAATAATTCCATCTTATTATTATTGCGGTGTATACTTTGATTAACATCATGATGCACAAAGGTGGGTTTTCAAAGTTGAGGAAGCAAGTTGGTTTTTCTAACATGAGTGGGAGGTAGGATAAACGGTTGAGAAAATGTTACGTGGAATGAATTATCATTTGTACATCTATATCCTCGAGTAAGATAATATGAACTCGAAGTTCATAAAGTGATAATTCATCTGCAATATATTGCAAAGCACGCCAGACGCATTTGCCGACCCAAAGAAAGTAACTATATTCTCATTGCAAATGCTCCTATTGGAATAAGTCCTACAAGGACAAAGTCTATGGTATGCTTAAAGCGCATAGACAAATCGGTTTCAAATAAAATTCTTGATAAAGAAGATGAGAAAATCATCAAAATGATCATAATAAGGAGGCAAGTGATCTAGAAGATCACATAATGCTTCATAAAACCTCAGGAGAGGTTCAGCTACCTGAAAATATGAATGAAGAGATCTCCATGTCATGTCTTTATGAATAAGGTGGTTGGAACCGATATAAAATATTCGTCGACGACATATATGATAGCGCTAAGTATAGACGAGGATCTTAAAACTGTCGAATACAGACATATTAGCCAAATGGAAGAGACACAATTCGAATAGGATTGGTTTCATATGAAGACATTATATATCTATCTATCAAGAATGACGATTTTAAGGTGCAACATATTCATTCAAGTTAATATGGATAATTTGTTTATCGAATCTCTACCAACGATCTTTTGAAGATGAGGAATGCAAAGGCTTAAAGATGTGGATTGATTGTCTCATCGGGGAGTTAATATGCATTGTACTCTTTTTTCCTTACAAGGTTTTGTCCACTGGGTTTTCCTTGCAAGGTTTTTAACGAGGCAACCGAAGGCGTATTTCTAAACAAGTGTACTCTTTTTCCTTCTCTAGAATTTTTTTGCCACTGGATTTATTTTAGCTAAGGTTTTAACGAGGTACATTATCTGTTAAATATACATTCAAGGGGGAAACTTTAGGAATTATTACTTGGTGGCAAAGTCACTCTTTCCCTATAAATTGTGGGTTTCTATTCCATTGTAAATCATCTCAAATCAATAAGAATTCTCTCTCCCTACTTTTCTCTGCAATACTCCTCTTCTTCTTTTATTATTTTATAACCAATTTTAATTATTCAATTCTATTTGGAAATTTGAACAGCATGCTGATGCCATTTTGTTATTCATGGATAGATGGCATAAAAATTCAAGTTAGACACGTAATTGAATGTTTTGCTGATATTTCGAGCTTTAAAGTTGAATTTTCAATGACGTATGAGTTGAGAATATTGTAGTTCTAGTTATGATACTCTAATTTGGACTGAATATTATACTTGGTCAATTACAATAAGAGTCATGTAACTGTTTAACACGTTCTGTTATAACAGCCGTAATAAGAGAGGTCTTAAATTTATTTAATAATTTTAGATATTTTTGTTTAAAGTTTATTCTTTTTATTTTTCGAGATGCAATTTAATCTTGGGAACGTAGCCAACTCACTTAATCTTTGTTGAAACATTTACTAACTTTTAATAAGATTTTATTAAGTTTAAAATTGATTCTTTTTTTCACATGACCGTCAACATAACTTACTATATATCAATGCCTCCCAAAGTAACAATCATGTGGAAATTTGTATTTACAAAGATGGAAAACAAATGGACTATGATTTTTTACGATCTAATTAGTTTGAAACGTGGCTACAGAGATCTTGAAAGAAAATATCGTACAAAGCTAGAGCTGTAAATAAAATTTGTTCAAGTTGGAATGAGAAGAACCAGAAAGTAAGTGCAGATTTAATTATCTTTTAGTTTCGTTATAATTTTCTCAACCAACGACCAAAAAAAAAAAGATCATATATTAAGTACAATAAATATTTAAATTACATATAAGAAGAGTAGCTTTTGGGGCCTCTAATTTTGTGAGGCCTAAAGCGGATGCTTTAGTGGCCTGGGGGCAGGGGCGGAGCTAGAGTGCCGCCAGCGGGTATGGCCGAACCCAGTAGCTTTCGTTCAAACCCTGTATTTATCTTAAAAAATCCGTTGAATATGTATAAATTATTAATGTAGAACCCAGTAACTTAAAACGATTAGAATTCCGAACCCATAAGCTTGAAATCCTGGTTCCATCACTGCCTGGGGGTTAAGCCGCCTTTGTATTAGACCGAACGTAGAAGCATGCCACGTGAAGAAAGGCAGAGATCAATACCTCTTTCGTGATTATTATAGACGTACCACAAGAGGGGGAAAAAAACAAAATAAAATGGAGCCCAACAATAGCCAAAGGCAGCTACTTCACAAAACAAAAGGCAGTTCAGAAGCTCCTCAAAGACCCAAGGGCTATTGTTCATCATCTTTTGAAATAAGATTGAGGCAAATGTAGCGAGCATATACAGAAGGAGAGACAACGCTACAACGACACAGTCCCTTACCGTGCATAATGTTACAGTCAATGAATAGTGCAGCCCTAGCATAGCTCAAATATCAAACAACAAATAGGAATTCCCTTTGATAAATATGGAGACTTAAAGAAGATAAACAATGGGAAGACCTTATTTCGTTCGAGGAGTGGCGGTTAAAGGATCACCATTTCACCCTCTACTAAGACAAAGATCTCTAACATTGTAGAGAAAATGACTCCCTCATATATGGGTGGGGACACCTTACATTCTTGAACCGATAACCATCTTTCGGAGCTGATCTATTGCTCCGTTAAATTAGCCATCAACACGATGGGCCCTAGAAAATCAATGTACATAACTGCATGGCAAAACCATTCGGTTGCGTGTTGAAAATGCTGTAGGCCACGTTAGCGGAAAAATTCAACATGACCAGCAATATCCCTGCACAACATTTTTGCTTCACCTGCCAACTTCAAGCTTCTTGAAATCACAAGTCCGGTTTTTTTGTGTGTTGATGTTGGTTTATATGATTTGGCATCCTCCTCATTTCCCAATGAAAGAGCTTCCCTAGCAGGAACCACATTTTCCCACCAAAATTCCCACAAAATTCCATGCATTAACTCCCAATAACTCCGCTCTCTATAGACACGGAATATTGTGCTCCCATTTGGTGTCCAACAATACACATCAACCCAATCTCTGTCCATGATTTCCATTTGCCCCTGCACCTGAGGCATGTAGTAGAATGGCATAGTATTCCATGGCAGCCCCTTTTCTGGCTTTCCTTTGTTATATGGGCATTTCACTTCCAGGATCCCACCCCCCGGCAAGCATCCAAGGAGACCATCCGGGGAGGCACCAACCCAACCCAATCGCTCATCCGAATGGACTGCAAACCCAAGTGAGCTCACATCGCGGCCGGTGATGCTTTTATAGCGCTCTATGGCTACTGCTTCCATGAGAACACCCCAATCCATGGCACACCTGCTAGCAGATTGTATTAATTGGACATCTGGAGAGAATACCTTCTCACGCCAGAGCTCATTTCGTCGATTCCCTTTCCAGAATCCTAAAGCAGTGCTGAAGGTGCTTGTAGTCAATTTGTCCTTGCGAAGGGCAAACCACTCATCAGAACGTTGTGGAGCATTTGATTGGGTCAGGCACGCTGTCAAAACTTGTGATGGTGGAGGATAACTGATAAGAGGAAAACTTGGTGCTGCCAAAGTTGAGAAGCTCCTCAAGAAAACAATGCCGTGATAGCTTCTGCCAGGAAGTGGCACCGCTGCTTTCTGAATGCTGCTGAATCTAGAAATGCAGGCATTGGTCATAGCTGATGGCTAACTGTTTCAATCCTGCAAATTAATAAATAAAACCATGAAACACAAGTAGGAAAACAGCTTGCTTGGCGGAGCAAGTAACTTTAGACAAGAATGGTCAAGTCAAGACAAGAATTTTCCAATGATCATTTCGGTGTGAACAAGAGAAAGAAAAAAAAAAGGAGGATACTGGTAGTGGCACTATTTTTTTCTTTTCTAATACATATTAAATCAAACTAGCTCAATTTAAGGCAGCAAAGCAAACGACACTACTTTTCCAATCACACAGCAAAGACAAACATTTCAGAGAGGTTCTTGAAATTCTCAAATGCTGGTTTTCCTTTCAATTCAATTCAACATAAATCCTAAAATTCATCATCCAGCACTCTCTCAGAAGTGAGATCCACGGACTGAAGGTTTATGCATGGAACATTAGGTCTTGGTGATCTGTATATTTTAATGATTAGGACCCACAAATTATACAAAAGAAATTTTTCCTACTCTCATCTAGTCATTGATAAAAACTACCCTGTACCAAAATTCACAATTTAGCAAGAAAAACGTTTTAGCTCCCGTTTGTTATTTCAAATTCAAAGGCTAAAATTTTTTTGCAACTATTTGAATATGCTTAAAATTTTAGGATTTGAAAGACAAACTCAAATCACAGCTCAGTTTGGCTCTAATTTTAGGATTCACTCCAAATGACACATAAAATGTGAATGACTCAATTGAACTCTAGAAGTTTGAGGTCCCCTTTTGAAGTCCAAATGTTATGAATCAACCCCAGCCCAGCAAGGATATTAACACACAAATAACTATTGAGCTGAGAAGAGCTATTGGGCCGAGAACAAGTAATATGGCTGGGCTAATTTGGGATCCATAATGAGCTCAAGAACAGTTCTATTAAACAGAGTAGTGGTCGGTGATTTTGGGGATTATGCCTATTGTTGAAGAAGAATATGTTTGTTCCTCTCATCTCCTTGCTCTGCATCTAAGCTTCTCATCTCCTTTCTTCTATGGTCCTCTATGTTATCTCTCAATTATCCTTTACTGTTTCATTGCAATTTCCAGTATCTGTAAGTCCGTTCAGTGAATCAATATAGCTAGTTGGTTTGGTTGCTATTCGGTTTGTTACATTGGTGCTTTCATCGTTCGTACTCCAACAGCAATGGTGGTATTAGATCGATTTAGTGGTGGAAACCCAGAGGGTTGGATTGTTCGGGCTGAGCTGTACTTCACCTACCTTGGCTTCTCCGAGAAGGACTGGTTGCCTCTTCCTTACCACTACCTTGATGGTGCAGCTCTTGCTTGGTTTGATTGGCTATTTCGAAATAAGCAATTTTTTGATTGGAATCATTTTAAGGAGAACCTGAAGCTGCGTTTTCGCACCCGAACTAGAGAAGAACTTGGCGGGTGCTTAGCTATTCACCAACAGCGAAAGCTAATGGCTGATTTACTAGCACGAGTTGCGGCTATTCCATCGTGGTGCAAGATTAACACCTCATCCTCGCCTCAGTATTGGCAGAAACACTCGGACAGGAACAACTTGAACCTGGCATACGAGTTGTTTGAGGAAATGTCGGGCACCATTCGAGATAATGAAGCAGTTGTTGAAACTAGTGAGTTACCAGAAAAGCATATTGATGTCGCTTCCACGTACAATGTCGCTACTGGTAGTCATGTTCAAGTTGAGCCTCTTAAAAACATGGAAATATTACATGAGTTAAAGCTAGTAATGTACTGGTGACTAAGAAAGAAGAATTCTTAGATAAAGACCATGTGTTCAACGAAATGCCACATAATTGCGGCTCCACAGTACTAGCTATTGTATCTGACTTGGAAGATGGCCACTCAGAGGTAGACAAGGTGCTTGATGGAAACCCCAAACGAACATTGACAAGAACTATGTCTCTCCAACTGATGCGGCAACCAATTTTTTAGTACCTTTTACTAGGGGAGAGGATGTAGTGCCGAAAGTGATTGCGAGCCCTTCTCAAGTCACACATCCATTTGAAAATGTCATATTGCTTCACATTCCCAGGAGTCCATATCTGTGGAATTTTTTTGATAAGAAGTTCATGATGGCTAATGAGGTCTCAGATATTGAGCGTAAGGAGACAATTTTGATGGACCAAAAACTTTTTATGTTTGGTGATGTTATCATGGAATCATGTTTGCTTTCTCTTGATAGCAGTGAATTGGTAGTCTCATCTTCCGGTGCGAGATCTGTTAGACTTGCTTATCCATTTCCTTGTGGTGGCCGAGAGCCTGTAGGACCCATAGTTGAGCAAGTTGCTGGAACTTTCGTATTGGGGGACCGTGATCCATGGACTGGCGGTGCACTGGTTTCCACAACGCATATGGAGAATTTCTGGACTCCGAAGTGTAAGCTATTGCTACTGCTGGAATCTACTGGCAAGTTTTGCTCATACACATCTTCTTACTCTATAATTAAAGTATGGGATCCCGGACGACAATGGTGTGTGAATTCTTATTATAGTGAAATAATTAGAAATATAATTATTGGCTTAGAGATAAGTGATATATCGCTGAAGAAATGTGACAATGCTGATTCACAAGTGGAAGGATCAGAACTTTCTTGGTTTGGCCTGCACTCACTAACAAATGCCTTGACATGGGTAACAACTGAACCTTTGAGGTCATCTTCCCCCATTGCAGATCCGGTGGCCACCTCAAACCAAATGCTTGGTTCCCCACATATCTTCTATAATACTCTTGGGTATTCTATTCATTTTGTAGTTGCACAAGATTTGAATAGTTGTTGTTCAACCATGAACAAAATAGAACAGAGACATACTAGTGCTAATAATGAACAACGAGCTAGCCAAACATTCTTATTCATTCGACACATTAGAAAATGTATTGCTTCCAAGTATGTGGTCCAGGTAGTTGATAAGCTTTGTGTGAAGACGGTCAAAGAGGATTCAAGCACAATAGAGCTTTCAAATGGGTTTTATGTGGAAACTACACAATACCTGAGGGTAAGGGCAACTACAACTACATGTCATCATATTGTCTCTTATAATATCTGCATTCATGGGCTTTGCAAGAATGATAATATGGAAGAAGCACTCATTTTGAAGGAAGAAATGAGATTAAATGGTATAATGTCAAGAACTGTCGTGTATAGGACGCTTATTCTGCTGAAACTTGCGAAATGTGATGACGCTGAGTGGGTGTTGACAAACATATCTAACAAGGGGCATGTTCCAAAAGAGGTGTTGTACAATACCACCTTGATGGCCATTACTCAACAGAAAATATCCTGATGGCTCTAAAGGTGACTAAGGAAAGGATACTAACGTGTTTGAGGCAAATTGATGGGTTGCTGCTCACATTACATGGGTTGCTTTTGTGGGAATTTGCTTCTGGAAAGTTTGCCTTGATTCAATCATTTCGCTTGCCGCTAACTGTTTCGCGAAGAGGGCAAGCAAGATTATGTCAATATGCAGGGCAGGTTAGGATGGCACTCAAATTGATAACACTGCTAATGTTCGAGAGCCACAAAGGACATGGTTTAGAATGGTTCACTAAAGGTGCGCGGGATCCTATATTTTCCTTTAGACATAATGAATGCCTTAGTATTGATATTGTTGGTTGGGAGCTCGAGAGTATCCTTGTTCTTGACTTGAACCTTGAGGACAAGGTTCTTATTGAGGACGGGAGTATTGTTATGAATCAACCCCAGCCCAGCAAGGATATTAACACACAAATAACTATTGGGCTGAGAAGAGCTATTGGGCCGAGAACAAGTAATATGGCTAGGCTAACTTGGGATCCAGGTTGAGTAATGAGCTCAAGAACAGTTCTATTAAACAGAGTAGTGGTCGGTGATTTTGGGGATTATGCCTATTATTGAAGAAGAATATGTTTGTTCCTCTCATCTCCTTGCTCTGCATCTAACCTTTCTTCTATGGTCCTCTATGTTATCTCTCAATTATCCTTTACTGTTTCATTGCAATTTCCAGTATTTGTAAGTCCGTTCAGTGAATCAATATAGCTAGTTGGTTTGGTTGCTATTCAGTTTGTTACACCAAATGTCTTCATCCAAACAGACCATTAAAAATATGCACCGCACTATTCAGATAAAGTTCAGATTTTCAATCTTATCTTCTACCCACTCAGCCAAATTAAACTAAAAAGAGTGAATTATGGAAACAGATACAAGGTGTTTGAATAATTGCCTATGAGAACACCTTTCCAGTTTTCGTGAAACAAAACTAATATATTATTATCCTAGAGACAAGAAAAGGAGCTCAGAAACAAATACTAACAAAAGGGTGTTATTTTTCGCTTATAAATCAGAGGAAACTAAAGAATCCCACATATTAATCTGAAAAGCATACTCTTTTCTAACCAGTTGAAGGTAAAAGGGCTTATCGGCTTAGAAGCTGGAATTTGAAAATGAAAGTAGCTGTTGAAAATACCTGCATCGGAAGGCGGGAAGCGGGCGTGGGTGGAGCCTCTATCCAAGAGGGAGGGGAAGAAGATTGCGGCAAAATGTGGAAAAAAATGGTTTTTTGACAGACCACACTACACAAACATCTCTTTTAACTCTTGAGGTAGCTTAGCGGTAAAAGAAAATGAAAATCTATATTCACTATTAAAGTTTAACAGCAAGAAAATAACAGATTTTAGGTGACGTCAAGTTTTAAGCATTATCACATTACTTTTGTCATTATTAATTCATTGGGATATTTTCCCTTTTAGTCTGAACTAAACTAACCAAATTTAACATAACTTATAACACTAGTATTCTCCAATTATTTATTTTTATATGTGTCTAAGGACTAAATTAAATCTACCTCTATATATTAAGAAAGTGTAGATTTGATAAATATACTGTAGATACGTTTTTACTTTTTCCCTATAAGCTTTTCTTTGAAACTATATACGCGAACGAAAAATGAAAAATTGAGAAAAATTGTTTTCTTTTCTTTTGTAAAAGATAACTAAGAACAAAATAAAAACCATATGAAACATTGGTTTACATGCTAGTTTATATTGTATGAATTACTTATGCAGTGAATAATATATAATGATTGTACTATGTGGTAAAGTATAATATAAGTAGAATGTTAGTATTACCTATTTTAAGTATATTTTGTATTTTATGTTAGTATTACCTATCTTAAGTATATTTTGTATTTTACGTTAGTATTACCTATTTTAAGTATATTTTGTATTAAAATATTTTTGTTAACGCACTGCTAATATACATTCTTATTAACACATTACCGTCAACCAAACGCTAAATGAACTAATGCATGAATTATTTTATTCTTATACGATTAACAAAACGCTGCAAAAGTTTTACGGGAAATCATTCTTCATAATCCTTCTAATCATTACTGTATTATGTTATGCAAAATTTCATGATGGGATTATTTCTTCAATCACTCCAACTAAACGACCACATGGAGAGATGATCAAACTCTCTTGGGTTCTTGTGGTTATCGAAAAGGGGTAGAATTTGGTGAACCAAATTGAAAAAAGATGATCTACCACCTCCCTAACTTTTGGCAGACCAAACAAATACGGAAAATGAGAAAATTGACTACTTTTGCCGAATAGATAGCATTAAATAAAGTGCAATCAGCTTTTGTCTTACACTTATCATTCCACCATTGAGACCAAGTTGATCGTAGGGATGGCAATAGGACGGAACAGAGCGAGTTAAACGAATTAATATGCAATGTAGGCTATTAATTAGTCTTTGCAGGTTTACACAGATTTATCGAATTAGACAGATATGGGAGGCGGCCATCCATGAAGTTGAGCTAGGGAGGTGTGACCGTGTGGAAGGATGCAAAAGAAGAAGAAAAAAAACATAGCATGAGAAAGCACAGGAAAAATATATATATTATGTTACAATAAACCCTATTTATAAGTATACATAATACATAACCTACTCCTATTACATATGGTACTAGGACTAATTATATGTATTCACATAATTATCTAACAATCTCCCTCTCAAAGTAGTGCATACAAATCATATGTACTGAGTTTGTTATATATGTAACTAATACGAGTGAGGAACTTTGGTGAAAATGTCTGCAAGCTGATCATTCGACTTCACAAGCTTTATAGCAATATTGATGATAGGCTATAATTACGTATTTTAGTCGCTTATTACACTCAAATTTACTGCACTTTAATTGAGTTTGAGCTTTAATCGCTAGTGTCTTGCACTAATTGTGTGTTTTATGCCTTGTAGGGGTGATTCCGAGCTATGTAGATGTTACAGAATGAATTCAAGTGATTTGGAGCTTTGAAGTCTGAGTAAAAGCCCAAGGAATTAAGATGGGATCGTATTCGGGGATTAGCGGATGATAGAGCAACAAAACGAAGAATCGAGTAGGCATATTGCGCACTGTTTAGTAAAATACACATAACTTTTCGCTCAGAACTCCATTTGGGCTCCACAATATATATATATATATATATATATATATATATATATATATATATATGGAAAGCTAACTCAAAGGGCTACAACTTTCATGTTTTACGTTTTTCTAAATTCTAAATGGAACATGGTGAAATACGCGGTCGAAATCGCGACCAATGAGGAAGTACACTGGGAAAGTACCGCGCCCGTACTGCGTCCGGACCACGGCCGCGGACGTCCAGGCCTGGAAACTTGTCCTTTTTCGCGTAGCAGAAGTTATAATTGTTTGGGCCCGACCCTACTTGGTATATATACATGAAAAAATGGTATTTTGAGGGGAGGAGACCAATTTTTGACACAGATTCGACCTAAGGAGGCAGAGACACAATAGGAGCAAGGCGGGGAATTCTTCTACGAGTTTTTCCGTCCTCTTCCTATTTTTCATTGTTGGTTATGACTTTTAGTACTGTAGTTTTACATACTATTATGAATAGCTAATTTGTTATCTAGGGTTTTGATGGAACCTTTTGTAGGATAAATTCTTGTTATGTTTTTATATAATTGAGCCGTAGTATTTTCTCTATTTGTTCAACTATGTTATTCTTGTGGTTGATTGAAGGGCCCTCAATTAGCTGTGCCTATTTAGTATGTATTACTCGGGAGAGAGTGCATATTTAGGTAGTTGTTGAACAACATCACTCCCGACGTATGCGAGGAATCAATAACCAAGGGTTTAAAGGTGGGATTAGGGATAACAAAATCTTGGGTGCGATCTAAGTGAGCTGTAATTAAAGCCAGCTAGCGTAACTCGGGAGAGTATGTCTAGTAAATTATGGTAATTACTCGGGAGAGAGTTACGACAGTCCGAGCGCTCATGATTGGTAGAGAATACTAAGGCGAAATTATAGAAGACATAGCGGAAAGGATTCCGACAATTGGGAAAATCATAACTCTAGACCTTCTTAATCTTTTCTCCAACCTGTAGTATCTTTAATGTTAATTTATTATTTCAATTTGTTAGTTAGTTAGTTAAACACATGAATCTTAATATCTATAAGTTAGGAATTGTTCAAGCTTGTATTCTTGGTGATAGTGAACAACTATAGCTAAGCCTTAGTTCTTTATTCGACTCCGGACTTGTAAACTGGATTATATTTGCAACGACCGCTTAGTCCTTGTTATAAGGCATAGTTGGGTGTGATCAAATATCTCTTGAGAGTATCTTTTCTCTGACAAAGTGCACTAATTCTCAATGTATTTAGTTCTCTCATGGAACACTAGATTTGATGCAATATGAATAGCAGGTTGATTATCATACACAAGTTCCATCTGGCTGATTTTGCCAAATTTCAACTCCTTGAGAAACTGTTTGATCCAAACTAACTCACATGTTGCCATAGCCATTGATCGATACTATGCTTCTGTACTAGACCGAGCAACCACATTTTGTTTCTTGCTCTTTCAAGATATCAAATTACCTCCTACTAAGACAAAATATACAGACGTAGAACGTCTATCAGAAGGTGATACTGCTTAATTAGCATCTGAGTATCCAACGATCTGCCCATGGCCTCGATCCTCAGACAATAACCATTTGCCTGAAGCTGATTTTATATACCAAAAAATGCGGACAACTATATACCGATGACTATCACAGGGAGAATCCATAAACTGACTCATAACATTCATAGGAAAAGAAATATCAGGTCTAGTCACTGCGAGGTAATTTAATTTACCAAACATGCACTTATATCTTGTGGGATCGCTGAGAGGCTCCCCCTGTCCAGGCAGAATTTTAAAAAACTTTGATTCATCGGAGTATCAACAGGTCTATAACTTGTCATTATTGTCTCCTCAAGAATATCTAAGGCATACCTCCATTGTAAGATCACATTACCTGAGCTAGATTGAGCAACCTCAATACCTAAAAAATACTTTAATCTGGCTAGATTCTTAGTTTGAAAGTGCTAAAAGAAATGTTTCTTCAACTTAGGAATACCATCTTGGTCATTGCCGGTAATAATAATATTGTCAACATAAACAGCCAGATAAATACAGAGATTGAAGCAAAATACCGTTAAAATACACAATGATCAGCTTCACTACGATTCATGCCAAACTCCTGGATAATTGTGCTCAACTTACCAAATCAGGCTCGAGGAGACTACTTTAGACCATAAAGTGACTGACGCAAGCGACATAAAAGGCCACTAGACTCCCTCTAGGCATCAAAATCAGGCAGTTGCTCCATATAAACTTCATCCTCAAAGTCACCGTGAAGAAAAATTTCTTAATGTCCAACTGATAAAGAGGCTAATGACAAAGAGTAGCCATGGATAGAAAAAGACAGACTGATGTTATTTTAGCCACGGGAGAGAAAGTATTACTGTAATCGAGCCTAAATATCTGAGTATATCCTTTGGCAACAAGACGGGCCTGTCGACGCCCCTTTTTCCTCTTTTAAAAGGTGAAATCGGGTTTACGATATTTTGGGCGGACAACTCTATTCCTTTTGGGAATTTGGGTTTGAGATTTAGAAGAGTCGCCACCTAATGATTAAGTGCATTAGGACACCAAAAAATTTAAAAGGAAGAAGAACCAGAGAATGGGTAAGGGCTTGAAATTATCTCAGGGGGAAGGTGTTAGGCACCCCCCAAGATCCATTAGTGTGGTTCCCGGCCATGTTATAATTGTGACTTTAAAACAAATAAGCATACAAGATAACTTCCACATAATGATTACAAGTAGGAATGTATAAAGGTTAAATAAGCATGCTGGAGTCAGAAAATAGGTGGTTTCATAGTTGTTTCAAAGAATGTATAAGTGCAGAAAATAAGGATTAAATAGCGAATGCGAACAATCAGACGAAAGAAGTGAAATGGGCGGAAGTTTTAAAAGGAAACAATGCTGGAAATTCAAAGAGGTTTTAGATGATGTGAACCAAAATACAAGGTTTAAAGAGCTGGAAACTGACAGTTTAAAGAAAACAATAATGAAAGTACATAAGGAGAAGGGGTCCTAGGTTTACAAATAACATGGATCATCCACACAACACCCGGTAACCAATTATACGCGTGGTGTTATCGTGTGATCATCATATCCATGTCTACCCTTCCCACCCCGTTAAGGTATTGAAGCGCGGAATAGTATCGTTACTTATTGCATGCTATTAACCGTCCCGATCCT